TTTTGTATTATAGCTCATATCGTTTATAGTAAACTCAGTCGGACATCCAAACATAATGAAACCTGCTCTAGTTGCAGCACATGTTACACCCGTACTTAAAGTATTAAATAAGTCAACAAAACCTGTTGGTGGTATATCTGAGTAAGTATCTTCAAAGGAGTATTTTTTACCATTCACAACAATAAAGTCTTCTGGTGTCAAAAGAGCAAAACAGGCTTTAGTCGTCATTGTGTTTAAAGTTAGTTTACAATATCGTCCTTGAGGACTTTGTAAGTTTGTTGTTATAGAATTATATGACTCAGGGTTTTTAGTCGTAATAGTATAAACCATTATATCTTCTGCCATTTACTTAGCAAATAAATTTTAATGAAATGTTGTGGTCGTCAAATATTTTTATGACGTCTGGGAAACTATACTTTAAGTTCAACGTTTCACCTCCTTTCATAACGTATATCTTGTCAATGACATTATATGAAACACCACAGCAACTAATGTCGGGTTCTATTTCTTTGATGTTTATATCGTCTGCCTCTGTCAAAAGTTTCAATAGTTCTTTCAAAACTTCATGAGGTGCAATGACATATGAGTTCACTTTTACAGGGTTGTGTTCGACCAAGTTTAACATTATACTTAAAGCTTGACAAATCTTCTCCTGAGTTTGAAGTTTGTCTTTCAGTTGTTGGTAGTCGTTTCGAATATCTGCAACAGAACTTAAGTCTCTGTTAACTTCAGGATATGTTGGTTCTTTTACAGGAACAATTGTTATACCATCTTCGTCTTCGTATGGTTTCCCCACTTCAACATCTCTGTCTTTGAGATTGACAACAACACTTTGACTGTTTGTTTGAGTTGGTGAATTTAACTTCACATCTGCCACCGCCATTAAACCTTTTGAAACACTTACGCTTCTATTTTTCGGAAATGACATTTTACTTAGAATAAAAAGATGGACGTATTCGGATATCTCTTCGAATTGAAGCAAAACAAGGTTTATACTCACAAACAATACAAATACATTGACAGAATAGTTCTTTATACAAACAATGGTAAATGTTATAGAATAGCAGTCTTTGCTGAACCTAAATATTTTCATAAAGCAAAGAAAGTTGGTATAACCGAGATGGTGAAAGTTCTTGACGTTGACAAAAATATAACAACAAAACTTACAGATATTTCTAAAGGAAAGTTTATAATACAATATTATGTCAAAACAGGCGTACTGTCAATATTTGACGGAGAGAAGTCAGTTCAAGAACAACTTACTGACCTGCTGCCAAAATCTGCTCGATGGAAGCTGTCGTTATGCCAATCTGAGGAGCCCCAGCAGGTTTCATCGAACGAATCTTCAAAAGAGCATCTTCCGTGAAAAGTGCTATTGGTTTTGTAAACTTCTTTGCTTTCAATTCATCTGGACCGTCTCTGTCACCAGTATATTGTATTTGTACAGTACCAACAGTTGAAATACCACCCATAAAGTCTTCTGAGTCAGCAAATGGAATGCCAAGCCAAAAGTTTGAACGGTCTCCATTTGTATATTGAGTTTTTTGACCTCCTGTATGAGTCCATACTTTCACATATGGCATAATAGAACTTTGCATTTCAGGGTTAATGGTCGTTGTGAAGTTGTTGTTAAAGTTCATAGCATCTAATGTCAAGTTGTATGACCTCATATCCTCAACTGTAGAATATTCTTCTCTTGGATAATATTTGCCATCTATGTTTATATGATATTTAATACCGGGGTTGTAGAAACAAGAATAGTCATTTATAGTTCGTCTGAACAGTACAAACATAGTATCTGCATGTTTCATTGCAGTTGTTAAAGCAATATCTGTTCTTGCACCTGGGTCAGCACTTTTGGTTTTCCAACTTCACCTGCAAAGTCTTTGACAGATATTTGGTGTATAGGGAACATAAGTGGAACTGCAATATATTTGGCAGCTAAAGCATTTGAAATATCTGGGTCCAACATATAGACTGCAAGTCTGCTTTCTATTCTCTTGCATTCAAATTTTTCGCATGTGAACTTAACTGGGTCCCAAGCAGTTCCAGCAGCATTGAAATAATAGTTTACTTCATTGTTGAAGTTTGAGAAACCAAAGTCTAAGTCAACTTTGTCTTTGCAAAATTCGGCGAATGACGTTTGATTTGTTCCCTTTACGTCTGTAATAGTGAATGGGTCTTGTGTTGGTGCAATGACTAAGTTATTTTTGCTTGGAGTAAGTTCGATAGAAATTTTTCCTGCCCAGTTTGGTAAGTATCTTAAAAACCTGAAGATGAGGAAAGATGACAAAGGAACTCTAAGTTTCAGTTTTACTTTAGTGGCAGCAGTTCCATCTGAACCAGAAAGGTTAACATAAACTCCTGGAACGTTAGGGTCAAGTCTTCTTATTTTCTCAATATTTGCATACTGGTCTGTTTGTTCTCTAGCTTGTGGTTGTACTGAGTTTCTCAAAGCGAACCATTCATAGTTTGCCCATGTTACTGTTTGAACTAAGTCAGAGTTAGAATATATCTTATATCCCATGAAAACTTCTGGAGCATATTGGTATCCGACATAGAAAATTCCATTGCAACCTTTCTTGTCAGACAACTTGGCAGAAGGTTTTATTTCAATGTCTTGTTCCACGTATAAGAATGAGTTGTCAATAGAAATAATATGAAACCTGTCGCAAGCAATATCTACTGTTGTTGAAGAACCTTCTCCAAACTCACCTACGTTTCCATAAGAAACAGCAGTTGTATATTCGTAAGTTCCAGGAACTATTTCTGACCTTCTAATGGCATTGTCGCATTCGTTATACCATTCGGAAACATTTCCGTTCATGGCATCCAAAACTGTTGGCGTTATATTCTGAGCGGCGTACATTTCATATGGGTAAAAATATAGAATAGTTGGATTTATGTGTCATAATAGAACTCACTCGTACCAAGCTTTACTTTCTTCCTGACTGAGTTTTTAACTGAATCTTTAACTCTTCTTTTTCCTTCATTGCCACTACTTTCACTAGATGAAGTTACTTCTTCACTACTTTCACTTTGTTCTACTCTTCTTCTTTGGTGTCGCTTTTGGTAACTTGCCCTCTGCTTCAAGTTGTTGCATCTTTGCCTCATGTTCACCTAGTATGTTGTAAATTTTCCATGTCCTTTTTGCCTTTGGGCTCTGGTCGCCCATCTCAGGTAACCAATATCCTAGAAAGATTTTGTTATAGTTTGTATTTGAGTCTTCGCTTATTGTTTGCATGACTCTTTCCTGAGTTTCCGGTTCAAGCTCTTCAAATATAGCTTGTCCATATGGAATATGCTCGTTTCCAAATATATGTTTTTGTAGCCATTCTGGTTTTCTTTCCATGTTACCAATAATATCTTTTGTGAATGGGAAAGCTTTTACCCAATGTTTCAGTCTTGCGTCATTTATTTCTGTAGTTGGTTTTATTTTGTCAAGGAACATGTTTTTCAATACTAACATTTCATTTGGTACTGTCCATTTGAGTTTTCTTAAATATTCATCCCTTATCAGTTCATTGTCTGCAAAGTAAGTTTTTATGACATTTTGCAAACTTTCGTTTGCAAGGTCATGTACAATAGGTTCTCTTCCTTCTATCTCCCTAACTTCTTTTCTAAACTCTTCACCAAATATACCATCTTTATGGTTCTGTGTAGTTCTTTGAGATAAATGTTCTAGAACGTCAGGTGTTATATTTCCATCAGCCATGTTCATTTCATACTGGTCCAAAATATCTGCATGTTTCATATCTTTCAATGGCATTAAAGCCGCGCTGAAAATACCAGCTATATCTGGTTCACCATTCACTTCCATTGCGTCTACAACTTCTTGGAATTGTGGTTGTAAGTTTATGAACCACCTATCCGGATTAGCTTTATGACCCCATCTCATTGTAGTTCCATAGTCTGCAGAAACAAAAGTAGGTTTGTTTCCATATTGGTTAGGTTCTGAATGAACTTTAAACAATGTTTCATTTCTATATGTTTTGTTGAAATTTAACCTTTTATTTTCACCGAGTTCAGCCAAAGATTGAACGTTATATGGTCGTAAGTAAAAAGGATTGTTGTATTTGCGTACACTTTCTTTCAGTTCTTCCATTCTATGCTGAATATTTTCATCTGATGTTGGAGTCTTTTGTATGTCGGCGAACATTTTTCGATATTCTTCTACTATGTCAGCCGAATTTTTCTTAGACTCTTGGAAAGATTCCATATTCTCCGCATACTCTTGTTGAGGGTCAAGATTTTTCGGCTGTTCCAAATCTTCATCTAGTTCTGTGAAGTTAGTTTCCAAAGGAGGGACTTGTTCGTTTCCTTCAGGCTCTTCTAGCTGTTGTTGCTGAACTATTTCTTCCATGTCTGGTTGTATCTGAACTTCTTCCTGTGGAGTTTCTTGTACCTCATCTGCTGGCATTTCATATATTCCGAGACCGTTTTTAAAAAGTTCCCTATCTAAGTCATCCGGACTCATAAACCTTTCTTCTTTCGTTCCGTCTCTATTTTTTACGCGTTTCATGAAGAGAGTTGAATTATCATTTAGCTCTGACACCAAATATCTCGGAGTAAATTCATCCATGTCATTTGGATGATATGCTATTAAATCATATCCCTTAGCGAGCTTGTATTTTCCAGGTTTGAAATTATATCCCATTTGGTGCTGAACCATAAAGCTAAATAGGTTCGGGTCAGTATTTCCTTCCTTGAACTTTCTAATAGCTTCTTTATATCTGTCACTAAAGTCAAGAGTATCTGGGTAACCATAATTTTCCTTAAGCATTTTTAAGAATTCTTGGTTTCCTTGTTCTCTACTTCTTTTATGTCCTTGCTCTGTTTGTGGTTGTTGTGGTGCAGTGTTTTGAACTGTTGGTTGTGGTGCAGTGTTTTGAACTGTTGGTTGTGGTGCAGTGTTTTGAACTGTTGGTTGTTGTGCTGGATTTTGAACTGTTGGTTGTTGTATTGGTTTTGGTGCATGCCTGTGTCTGTGTCCATGTGACGATGTAAATGTTTTAGGTAGTCCTGGTGCAGGTGCTTCTCTTGGAGGGTTTGGTGGTATATAAGTTCCACTAGCTAGTATATAAGTTCCACCAGCTGGTATATAAGTTCCACCAGCTGGCACATATGTTCCATCTGCAGCATAATGTCCTACCTGACTTTTCGTTTTTAAGAAAGCATTTACTAGGTCTGTTTTGGTCTGTTGTAACTCTTTTTCTTGACTTTCCACAACAGTTGCTCTAACGGCGTCATAGGCACTTTGAACTGCCTGTCTCGTTGCTGCATCTGTTATTTTCGTCATATTTTGTGCTACTTCTCTTAACTCTTTGTCGAAACCTTCAGACTTCAGTTTCTTTCCAGATGAGAAGTCGTTCACTAGTTTCACCTTACTATGAAGAGCTTCGAAGGCGTTCTTAAAGTCAGCATTCATTAAAGCTTCATTTGAACTGTCTTCATCCGCTTGTATTTTTGTCCTTATTGACCCTATAAGTTGGGCTGCTTTAGCGTTGGCTTGGGCGTCTAACCAGTCATTATTAGCTTTTATATATTCTGCGCTTTTCATTGCCTTTTGCATGGCTGCGTCGTTATTTTTACTTTCTTGTGCTAAGTTTTCATACTGTACGGTTTGGTTTTGCAACTGTAAAAGTTTTTCTGCCTTTACATTTGCTTCAACTTCTTTTTTATACTCATCGCTATCCATATATGTCTTCAGGGCTTTTTGTTTTATTTCTTCATCTTTCAGTACTTTATATTGAGTAGTATGGTTTTTCAAATTTATAACATCTTGTTCCATTTTTGCTACTTCTGCTGCTTTTTCTGACACTTTTTTCGCATATTCCTCTGTACTTAGTTCTTTCAGTTGTTCTTCTTTCTTCTTTTTCTCTACGTTTAACTCATTGAGTTTCTTTGTCTGTCTGTCATATTCTAGTTTCTTTTCGTTTTCACTTATTTGTTTCTGTATGTCTATGTTTGACTTTTTGACATCTGTTATTTGATTTTTGAGTGAACTCAAATTCATTTGACTTTGAGGGTTATAAGCTGTTCCGTCTGCAGCTCCACCATAGCCTGCCATTTTCGCTAAAAGTGCCGCTCTTAAACCTCCACTCTGTGCACCAATAACTCGGTTTAAAAGCATAGGGTTGCTTGACATTTGTTGCAACATAGTGGGGTCATTCATCATTTGTTGTTGCAACTGTTGTTGTGGTGTCAGTTTTACTATTGGATGTTTCAATGCTCCCTTCCTCTTACGTATATTCTTACGTAGCTTACGTGACATTTTAAGTGAAGTAAAAAACGGTTTTTGACAGATGTTTATATGACACTTTTTGTTCAGCACAAAAAACTACTCGGTCAAAGTGTTGTCAGTTTTGTAAAATAACCGTCCTATCTTGTTTTAAAAGGGAGAAAAGGCTTCTCAAAGTATACTTCCTTGGAACGTCTGTAACTTTTCCTGTAGCGACGATAGACCCTTACTTGTCCGGACAAAGTTATACTATTTTGAGTGCTCTACAAAAAAGTCAACAGCTGGTCGGCTGGGGTTCGGTCCTCCTCTTGGGTCTTGGGAAAAATTTCTTATGGGCTAGAGGGCGCAACGCGCCTGGAAGCCCCACTACCTTTTTTTTTTCAATGCACTATTTATTGATCATTTCCTGATTAATTGCGAATTACTCAAATATTTGTTAGATTCTGATCCAAATTTTTAAAATCTCTTTATTTTCATAAGTTATACTTACAATTTGTAATCTTTTATTTCATAGATATAAACTTTTAATAAAATAACAAAATTCAATTTCATCTTAACGTTCCGGATGAAAATATAATTGATTTATACATTAATTTTGTTATTGTGTTATTTCATATCTGCAAACTTAATCAAAATGAATAAATGAAATCCGAAATTTTTGTGATCAGTGTTTTTCCACAGATATAATGTACCATTTATTTCCTTAATGAATTTTAAAGATGTTTTAAATGGTAAAATTGAAATGTTCCCTTATAAAAAATTATTTATGTCCGAACAAGACACTCACCCAAATAAGTACACTGAATTGCGAAGTATACATAAATACTATATCGATTTATATAATGCATTGTATCAGCTGAAAACTGAAAATGAAGAAGAAATAAACAAGATTTACAAAATGATCAAAACAGAATTGATTGATTCAAAGAAATGTCTTCCTTATACTATTATAAGTCACATTTTATGCATCATTCCTTTTAAAAATCGCTATACAAAGGCTTATTTTTCTCTCGTCAAACTTATATATGATAATTATCAAGTAAACGAGGAAATCAAAATTCCATTTAGTATCAGATACCTATTTTATATAGAATATGGAATTAAATTAAGCAAAGAGGATGATTTCGAAACAATTAAATCAGAATATCACGATATTAATACAGATGATACAATTTACAGAGCAATTATGTATAATGACTTAGAAAGATTCATCTTCTTCACTGAAAGAGAAGGATTTGATAAAGATGAAATGCTTCAAAGTTTTTTGTGTCCATTTTCTCACTGTTTTGGTTTTTCATTACTTGAAGTATGTTGTTACCATGGAGCAGTTGACTGTTTTAAATTATTAAGAACAAAATTTAACTCAAAAATAACTGAAACATGCCTAGAATTTTCATTTTTAGGTGGAAATGCAGAGATCATGAGTGAATGTTTGAAATATCAAAAACCAAATGAAAAATGCATGGAATATGCAATTATTTCACACAACATTGATTTTGTTACATATTTGATGAACGAATATAATATAAAGATCAATTTAGAATATTGCGGAAAATATAAGAACCTTGATTCCATGTTAGTTTATTTTGATCAAACTAATGATATTAACAATTGCTTTATTAATTTAGCAAGGTTCAATATTCCATCCTTACTCGAATACTTCCTTTCACATGGTGCGAATATCAATGAAAAAAATAATTATGGAGAATCCGCTCTTCATTATGCAGTAACAGATAGTGGTAAAGAAACAGCCGAATTTCTCATTTCACATGGCGCAAATATCAATGAAAAAGATAATAATGGGAAAACAGCTCTTCATATTGCAGTATTGCATAATAGTAAAGAAATAGCCGAATTTCTTATTTTACATGGTACAAATATCAATGAAAAAGATAACTATGGAGAAACCGCACTTCATAAAGCAACATATAAAAATAGCAAAGAAATAGCCGAACTTCTTATTTCACATGGTGCAAATATCAATGAAAAAAATAAAGATGGAGAAACCGTTCTTCATATTGCAGCAATTTTTAATAGAAAAAAAAACAGCCGAATTTCTTATTTTACATGGAGCAAATATCAATGAAAAAAAATAAAAATAGAGAATCCGCTCTTCATATCGCAGCAAAAAATAATAGAAAAGAAACAGCCGAATTTCTTATTTTACATGGAGCAAATATCAATAAAAAAAATAATTATGGAGAATCCGCTCTTCATTATGCAGCAAAAGATAATAGTAAAGAAACAGCCGAATTTCTTATTTCACATGGCGCAAATATCAATGAAAAAGATAATAATGGGAAAACAGCCATTCATATTGCAGCATTGAATAATAGTAAAGAAATAGCCGAATTTCTTATTTTACATGGTGCAAAGGATTAGTATTTCTATATAAGATTCTTATTGTTTAATGTTCGTCTTGTCAAATAGTTATCGGATGTATTTTCCCCGATCATCTATCTCTATGCAATGTATACATTTGTGTCTGTGTTACAATTTTAATTATTTTTCTCCCTTAAGGTTGCACTACAAGGATTAGAAAATTCTCAAAAAATTCATAGAGCTCTATCAATTCTATTATCCTCCAAAATAATAAAACACCTTATTTCACTTAATTGTAATTAAATATTTTGAAGTTAAACTCAAAAAAAAATCGTATTTATTCATCCTATTTATGTATGCCCGCTTTATGATTCTTTGTTGTTTTATCGAATTAGAGCGAATAGTTTGTGCGGTCCAAAAGGCGTTCATGGTAGAAATCGACTTTTTGAGATAAACTAATTCAATTAATTGTATGACATCTCTCAAAAAGTTGAATGTAGATACCTTTTGACTTGCGTTAAATGACAGTCTTGTCTTATACACTTTTTGATGGAAATAACCGTTTATAACACCGAAACAAGATGCGTATTATCTTAAATTTGTTTCGTTTATCTTAATTCTAAAAACAACAAATTTTTTTTGAGAGCGGGACAAGATCAAAAAATCTGACATTTGTAAAGTTCCAAATCTGACGATGTAAACTGTTTACAAATGTCAGATCAAAAAAACTTTGCCCGCCAAAACGCAAAAGTGCCATAATCTCATGGTGGACCACAGCTGGTGTCGCCGCCGACTATTCACTTGCTGGGATGCTACGCAGCCTTTGATCTGGCCAATCATAGTGCTGCTCCATCCACATCAGCAAGTGATTTCGGCTGGAGATCTCCAATGGGTCTTCCATGAGGTTTCTGTACGCCAGAAGCACAATATCTATGCAGCCTGGCTGCTAGGATAGCGTAGCTAGGCTGCGTAATTGTTGTGCTTCTGGCGATATTAGTTATACGTTATTGCCCTCGTTGACTATAGTGCTACTCCCTTAACCTCCGAAGGTTAGGGGAGTAAATTTGCTCGAAATGGGCAATGCTCATTACGAAATCTCTCATTCGATGAGAGACTTCGTAATGAGCATTGCCTTAAAGTTCTCTTACTACTCTTTCCTAGTTCCCAAAAGGCCTAGGATTCTGTAATTAATCGAATAGGACAGAGTTTTTCCGAAGTCTCTCATTTGATGAGAGGCCTCGGAAGAACTCTGTCCTATTGTAATGTAGTTGTGGTACTTGGCCCACAAAGAGCGAGAGAACATGTCTGTAATTCGTTTATGCTGAAGTTATCTGGATGTCTCTCAAATGAGGAAGGAAATCCAGAAAACTTCAGCATAAGTTAATGCAGATGTGATTCTCTGGCTCTTTGTCGGCCAGAGAACGAATAAAAGGTTTATTGGATGAGTAGGCTCGATGGATGCCTACCCACTGCAAATATACGTTATTTTTTTATTTCCTATGAGAAAATAGTTTTTCATTTTAAATTTCATTGGAGACGAAAAACGGAACAAATCACCATAGATTTCCAATGGACGCTACTTATGAGTAATTTATTTTCTTTTTTATCAAAATATTGAATGATGAATATAATAAAATCAGTCCTAATATAAATAGGCTATGATAAATTGGCAATACACCCAATGGCAATATAGTTTTATTAAAGAGGAATATGTTATTTCAAAAAGAAAAAAGAAAATCAAAAATTAATCAGAGTTAGAAAGCAAAAACTGAAACTAAGCTTTCTTTTAATGGTTCATCCGAGAAAAATATATTCCGATGTATATACATTGCCAAATTGATAAATTTCATGTTTTTCATTATCCGTGTATTACTTTGCTATTTAAAACGCAAGGCTTATATCATCTGTAATCGTAATTACAATCGATAACTTCAATTGGATCTAAGTATTGTTTAAGATCTTCACAGCAACTACGTATTTTATCAGGACGGCAACCACGAACTGTTTTTACTTCTTTTAATGAGCCATCTGTTTCGATGAAAGTGAAAAATTTTATTGTTGGAAAACTTGAAACGCCATAATGACTTCTCAGCTCATTGTTTTTGTCTACATCAACTTTGTAAAACATTATTCCGCCAAATTCGGACGCTATGTCCGGGAGTGACTTTCCTAATTTTTGGCAAGGTCCACACCAAGTTGCGAAGAAATCAACTACAAAAAGCTTGTAGTTCTCTGAGTCTTTGATAACAGTGGCCTCAAATTGTTCTTTTGATCCATTGAAATGTACAAGATTTATTGGTTCTTTTGTTTCCATAATTTCGTAAATTAAAAAGTGACATATCAGAAATCTGGGTAACATCAAAAAATTTGAACGTTTGTAATGTCTATTCTTTTCATCCATTTGTAAGCTTATTTTGCATCTATCAAATCTTCAAAATCCGCTCAATTTTATTAATAAAATTTAGTTTTTTTTTTCTAATTTTTGATTACAACAAGCAGAATCATAATCCAATTGTTCAAACATAACACAACTATTGATAAGCTAGCATCGAATTAAACAGGAAACTTAAAAAAATCCGAACAATTTACTACATAACAATTTACAAAGTAACAAAAAATATAACAAGCAAGAGAAAAATGAAGTTCAATTTCAAATCCCTGCATTAGATCTAATTTCGAGAGGAATTAATTTGTATGTAAAATTCTGCACTGAAAATGCAGAAAATATGCTTCTATTATGCCTGGTAGTTCATTTCATGTGATTCTAATGTTTCTGACCCTAAATGGTGAGATAAAAATTATGATTAAAGCCGTAAGTGATAATTATCGTCTCATATTATTAGCTGCTTCAATTAGCCAGTCAAACGATTCTGAAAATCCGTCATTTAATGATGCATGTGTTTTGATTTTATAAACACTATTATAAAAGTATTGATCAACTAAAGATCCGACCATAGGTACAATAGATTCATTCTGTGTTTTAAGCATTGCAAATAAAACTGGTATTTTTTGATTTCGAACATCTTCGGCAGTTTTGTCAAGTAATTGTTTGGTGAAAGTATACCCGTGATGAATAGATACCGGATCCATGACATATATTACAGCATTTGCTTGTTTAATACAATTATCATAATCGTCATCGTGTCCTGAAGATCCACCACAGTCCATAAATATACACTTCTGATCTTTATATTTAACACATCTTACAACAACTCCAAGAGTTGGAATAGGCCTTAGATGTGGGTCATATTCGCCTGCAACAAACTCTACTAATGATGTTTTGCCGACACCTGGAAGGCCAAGCAAGCAAATTCGCAATGGCATTGGTGGATCCGTATCATTTTGAATACTCTTTGATCCACAACAACCCATTCCGAAAAATATACGTTTATAAACTAAAATCTAGATTTTGTCACTTTTTCATCTTACATTTCATTCAATTTGATTACATAAAAACATAGTAGAACACTTGAAATACTTCCATTTTCATATCTATTTTCTTGGGGGGCGAGTGAATAAGAAACTAATTTAACTATTATGATGGAAAAATTGATATTTTACAGTAATGTCAAATATATGGAATTAGAAAAAACTTTAACGTTAGATAGGATTGATTGTTTTCTTTCATTGAATAGATTTCGCTAAAAATGAAGCTCACTTATAAGCAGAAATCAATTAACGTTATTGATGCAAGTCATCAATTATACAGAATTACAAAAGTCTGTATTAGAAATATAATACGAAATTTTGTAAGCTCATAAATTAGTTTTTTTTTAAAACCACTTAGCACTTTCCATTACTACATTATCATAGTCGATTTTCAAGTGCATCTTGTTATCATTGGTATATTGTGTCCACTGAGGAAGTCCTTCTGAATTCGGGTTTCCTGTCATAGCAAAGTTAATCCAATAATCAATAAGTAAATCAGAAAGTTTTTGATCTTTCTCTCCAAACTTTCTCCAGCAACGATTCATGGTTTGGAATATATGCCAAAGTTCTGCTCCATGGAAGCATCCATCATCAACACCTTCATCACCAGGAGGGTGGAATGTCAGATAGTACATATAAACTGGAGAATAGAGATTTTCAAGCTGCTTCTTGACCATGTTGAGATTCCAATGGTAAAAGATTCTATACGAAATAGAACCAAATTCCTTATTTGCACATCCTGCAATAGTCGGTCTGTCTTTATATAACTTTTTATCGTAGCATTCTTCGAGTGTTGCTGGAAAGGCTTCACCATCAATATGCGCTGAAAACTTTATGCTTGGGAAATCATAGTGAGCTTGCATGATTTGTTCTGTAGGTAATTTAATCAAGTCCTCGTAAGAATTCACATTAAGTTTCTTCAAGAAGGCATCGCTATGCTTAATCATGTCATCTCTAGTGTATCTCAGATTAGGGAACCACATGAATCCACCTCCACTTTGAAGAATGACTTTGTGGAATAAGTTTGTTGCTAAAGGTGAGACAACAAGGATCTGACTGAGCATTGCTCCAGCACTATGACCAAATACAGTGACATTTTCTGGATCTCCACCGAATGCCGCGATATTATCATGAACCCATTGAAGTTCAAGAATCAGATCGTATATTCCCATATTTCCTGATTTAACACCATCCTTTTCGAGTATTGGATGAACAAGAAATCCAAAAACATTTAAACGATAGGAAGCAGAAATCAAAATACATCCTTTTTTGGCATAAATCTCACCATCAATTTCTTTTTCATATGAATATCCTGTTTCATATCCACCACCATGAATCCAGAACATAACCGGATATTTTTTATTTGGATTAATTTCTGGTGCCCAAATATTCAAATAAAGGCAATCTTCTGATTGTTCTGGTTTACCATCTGGATTGAATTCACGCTTATAAAAGCCAGGGGGATCAGGTTGAGGTGGTATCTTTTTGAACTGATGGCATGAAAGTACTACATCCCAATGATCAATAGGAACAGGCCTCTTAAACCTCAATTCTCCGAGTGGTGGTTTCGCATATGGAACACCTCTATACACTCTGACATTAGATGGTAATGTTTCACCTTCAATATCACCATTCAAAGTGTGAACAATCGACATTTTTGGTAAAATAATCTTTTGTATTTGTTCACAAAATTCAATCATTATTGAAAAAGACAAGTTATCATATTTGTGACCTAGCATTACTGATTTAACATATATATTTTTGAATACCTTAATTTAATTCTTAAAAATGTTGATCGGAAATTTTTGAAAAAATTGTAAATGGACACATTTCGGTTATTTTATTATGTGAAAAACACATAAATCGTAGTTAGGGGTCAGTGGATGTTCTATTGAAATATTATAAAGTTGGCTAACAAGCGCTTAAAACTGATATATTAATAATTTTTTTTGTTAAATTTCTAAATTTTAAAAACAATACAAACAAATATAGTTTTATTATTCATGATCAATATTTTCCTTAATCCTCTTTTCTATATCTTCAAGAGCAGGGAAGTTCTGAGACAGCAAAGTTAAAGCGGGCATCACTTTCTCTGTGTAATGTTCTGATGTCAATTCTTTTGCTGTCTGAGGCAAAATCTTTGCCCATGTCGGATCAGATCTCAAGTTTTCAGTTTGTTTCTCTTTGTATACAAGTTCACACACTGCATGGAAATACTCGTAAGGTCTTACAAAGTTTGCGTAATTTGCTAAGTAAATAAAGAACTTTCCTATCTCTGTTGGATTCGTGTTATTTGTAACATAAGTGTCCAATGTAAGAGAACTCTTTCCTTCATCAGTTGCAACAAAAAGATTTTGCATGAATCCCCAAAATTCTGGTTTATCGACCTTTTCAAAGAAATCCGATTTTTCCAATAATTCTGCCGTCTTTGAAAAAGAAAGGATTTCCATTGGGCTTTCGTTTCCAAACAAAAGAGCTGTTCTTGACTGTGCGGAAACGTGATAATACGACGAAAATCCGTTATGAGAAACGTCATGGCATAATGCAGAAATGAATAAACAAGTTTTCTGCAGTTCATCGAAGTATTTGGTGAGATTAGCTCTGTAATAAAGATAATATAGGAACTGCAGGGTATCTACAGCATGTGACCAGTTGTGATAAGGATAATTTTTATGAGATTTCATGCAACTCTCAAGGAATCGATAGAATGATTGATCATCAACACCCAAGAATTGCAAAATACCCATTTTCTGGAAGATCTGATAAGGAACTGTAATAGATTCTATTTCATTTCTTGCATCAAAGTCCAAACTCTCAATATCATTGGTTGTTTCTTTGAGCTCTATGTTAGGAATAATTTCCTTCTTCTCTCTGCAGTCAATACATTTGGAAATGAATGGTTGCAAGATATTTAATAAATTTTCATAAAGAGGAAGCGGCGGATTCTGGCTAATGAACAAAATTATCCAATTATCGAACTTAAAAGACACAATTCTCTCGTTGTCATCGAAAATTTTGCCTTTGAATACATCGTGATCGATTAAAAAAGTTGAAATTCCATTTTCTATCTTAGAAAAGTCAACAATCATCTCTGTTTCTTCGATAGATATCATAACTAATGTTTCATCTTCATATAAAGCGTAATTTTGCATTTGTATGGCGTTACAAATCTCTTTTACAATAATTTGGAGTAAATTTCCATCAATTGGCTGAACAACGTTCTTAATAATCTCCAATGCAATACTTACTGAGTTTTTATTGTATTCCTCTTCTTGTATTGTCTTTTCTAGCTGCTGCAATCTGATATTGTAAACAGAAAAGACAGTAAACGATTTCAGAATACCAAATTGTATTTTATCGAACCTTGCAACAGTGTTTAATGAGTTTGCAGCTACAATTGAAACATTTCCAATTATACATCTCATTAAACTATAGCAATAAATGGTTGAATTGAAGTTTTTGAGTCTGCTTGGATCAGGAGTAATTATTTCTTCATCAAAATTGTTGAAAAAGAATACTTGTGGACATTCATTTGTCATTTGAACAGTCATAACGTGATTTCCTTCGACATAAAGGGATATATACTCGCAATTAAGCACATTAGATATTGATTGAAGTAAATTAAAGACAAATCTTCCTTCTGTTATGTATTCTGGTGTAAATTTCTTAATTTCGCCTTTAAACTTCTTAAGAGCTTTCTTTGACTGATCAAGAGTGTTTTGATTAGCATTAAGGACACATTGAGGAACAACTAATGACAAATTTGCACAGAATGAACTCTTATTTATTTGATCTGAGACAGAATACGTTGTAAACAGAGCTGAAACATTTCTATTAGTATCTAATAATGGATAACAACCTTGTTCTAATTTATTGGCTATTTCTTTTTTGCTTTCGTAGCATTCTTTTTCAATTCCTTGGAAATCAACAATATGAGTGATCAAACGACCGCTAAACAGTTCAAAATAATAAAGTTCTGTTTCATTATCAACAATAAATATCGTTGAATCGTTCAGAGGAGTATGAGATATAAATTTAATTAATTTATCAAAAGAATCTTTGCTCAAAAGTTCATTATCGAAGGCTCTCTTCTTTGTTTGAACATCAATGCTATGATCTACATTTTCATATGCACTATTTTCATCAATTAATGGCTTCATAATTATTGAATAAAAAGAAGCAACGTAAATGTCTTCTTGTGAGAAAGTTACAGCTTTCTTTGATGTAAATAATATCTCGATAACTGCATCTGTGCCTATTGGAACTAAAAGAACTTTGAAATTGTTAGGATTAAGGAGAGGATCAATTGAATTTGAATATTCTGGCTCCGATGGAGGATTGTCAATCAAAACAACTGTATTCTTTTTAATAGCAGTAAGAATTAATGCTCCATCATCGTTTAATTCAATGAACATTGTTTTATTGAATTGACACCGAAAAAATGAAGTTTTTGGATTCCTTTTGAAGACATATACGCAATTACTATCAAATATTTTCTCTGTTTCTTCTATGAACTTCTCTAAAAACACTGATTCATGAACAAAATCAGATAAAATTTTGTAAGATTCAAAACATTTGCCAATTCTTTGTAACTGAATTAAAGATGATTTTATAAGTGGAATCTGTGACTTCTCTTCAATTTGATTGATAACGTCTGTAAATTTTGAATAAAGTTGCTTTCCAAGAAAAGCTTCGAGTATAATGGGGTTATTTGCCGCATATAGATCAGCTGTATCACTATTAATAGCAACAACATTTGAGTCATCGATATTTCTATTTTGTTTTAAGTAATCTATTCTTTGTTCTTGTTGTACTCGATCTGTTTCAAGAGTTTCAATCTTTTCTTGAATAATTTCCATTTGCTCTTGTAAATGTCTGAATGAATTCTCTAAATTCGATTCTATTTGTCCAATTAAATTTATTAAATCAGGAGGAATTTGTTCTGGAGAACGATCATTAGATAATCGTGAATTTTTAGTGGAATTAGGAGTAAATAGCTTCGGATTACGAACAGAACCAGTAAATCCACGATTTCCAGATGATGTTTTCATTTTTGTTTTAGAAAAAAACAGATTTTTTATTCTTGAAAATTTAAAATTTTGCAACATCAAAATAAAATAAATTCATTAAATGTAAACCGACCATAGCTCAGTTGGAAGAGCATGGGACTGTAGAATTGTGGTTATCCCGGGGTCACTGGTTCGAATCCGGTTGGTCGGATTACTTTTTCATTTTTTGTTATTTTTGATCTGATTCCAAACGATCTTTATTTCTGGAATAAAATTCATTAATGTACTAGGATGATAGACGAACAATACTACCATTTTCTCTTTGAAAGAATGCTCAACTCTCTTTACTTTCTATTGTTTTCTCTAAATGAAATGAATATGTGATGAAAAAAGTGACAAAATTAATATCAATGCGAATTTATTGTAACCAAACTATATTTGGATGCTTGGCTTCAGCTGTCCTTGCATCTGCTTTACTTCTTATTTCAGTTAATGATACAAAAATCACGAATCAAATCGAATGTCAAAAATTTCCCACAATTTATTACTCAAACGACAGTAAAACCTACCAAAATTTATTTGAAAGAGCTATCAAAAACGCTACACGCAGGATTTCAATAGCTGCGACCTCAACAAAACTTGATTTTGGAACTCTTGGTCCTCTCCTTAATGCTTCACATGTTCCTCCATCAAAAATTCAAATATTTACATCAAATGAGTCAAATGTTCAGACTTTATCCAAAAAACTCGGTTTTAAATACACAATTTACAATCCCGAAATCTTCCAAGCCAAATTCCGAATGATTGTTTCTGACGATAGTGCATATGTTATGTCATATCAGCCAGTCACTGCAATTACTCCATTCTATCGGATTTTGTCTTTTGAACAATGTACTTCAGGATCTGACGATATCCTTGCATTTATTAATTATTGCATTAACCTACAACAATCACATAACACACATATTGCAAAAATCGATATGCAAGCCAAAACTTCGCCAATTCAGCCGATCAACATGGATAATTCTTTGTTTTTCTCATTTTATAATCCGAAAAGTCGTTTATTCCCTCTACGCATTCATACACAACACATTTTGGAAGAAGAACTTTCAGATGAACCAAATACTCTTTATATTTATTCAAAAACTCCTCCATACATCATGATGTACGAAGCATTCTCATCATCAGACTTCCATTTATACTACGATATCAAAGCCCTTCTCATGAGAAACAAAACTAAAATTTATTATTTGGCTTCTGTTCATTCCGGTACACAAACTAACTGGTACAACCAACTAACTAGACATGATAACTTCCAACTTAGAACTTTGGACGAATCTTACTTTTCTTTCGATTTTATGGTTTCTGACAACTGGACTTACATATTTTCACACGAAATACGGTCTTTGGAGATCAATGAAGATGTTTCTCTTCATTTCGCAACAAATAACTCGAAGATTTTATCATCTTCATTGGATTTCTTTAATAAACGATGGAAAGAAGGAAAACCATATTCAGATGAATAAGATTATTAGTTATTTTGTTTTTTTGTTCATATTATGAGCATTTTTGAAACCAAACATATTTAAAATCACCAAACATGGCACAATTGATTTGACCCATTTGAAGGGTAAATCGGAAAATTTTTGTTCTTGATAATTTTTAAAATATGGATTTAAAAGATAGGAAATTGAAAAATGTTCAAGACAAAAATAAAGATTCTCATTTAATGAAAAAAAAGCAAATTGAACATCGATTTCAAGTTCCAAAGCGCCTTCCCATAACTATAAATAAAACGACTAATGATGTTTCAAATGGAGGTGATTTATCCCTTCGAAAACGCTTTTTTAGACTAACATCTTCTCTTTTGATTCCATTAAGTAGTAAAATATTATCTAAATTCTATTCAAAATCTTGTCACTTTTTTCTTGTAGTTTTGATTAATTTCAAATTATTTGCGAGATACAACACCTCAACATGTACCTCAGATGAGGAACAAAAAGTTCATTCAGCAACTGATGGTCCAAAATTATCTTCAATGATTGTTCTTAAGAGTCTTTGGAGTCTTTGTTCCTCATCAATGATACAGTACCTCAACAAGTACATCAGATGAGGAACAAAATCAAAAATCAGCATCATTCCTAAAAGACTTTCTTAAGAGTTTTTGAAGCCTCAACACATCATCTAATAGTTTTATTTTCATCTGACAGTATTTACATTTCCTCTTATTGTATTTTAAAGAATTACCTTTTCATACAAACAAATATAAATATATATATCACAGCGCAATTGTTAACTTCTCATTATATACGATTGTTTCATATGATTATTATATGATTTCTCTGATATTTTAGTTTTTTGAATCTTTAATGATTCATTCAACCTTAGATAGATCGACCATAACATATGTCATATCGATATCCAAGATATTTTCAATCATTGAATCTATGAGTAGCATAAATTTATCCGAATCTCAAAAAATATATCTTCAATATCTATCTGTGCCATGAACAAGCTCATGTAATTCACCGCATCAATTAATTAGAATTTTTGATGAGTTTTGTTCGGCCCTATGATCATTTTGTGCTGTGACAAAGCCATTTCCATTTTTGGCCTTTTTTTCCCCAGTTTTATCGAACAAAACTTCGGATTTCGACCTGAAACCAGTTAAAAATTATTAAACTAAGTATATTGTCTCAGACCATAAAGTTAGATTTAATGCGAAATTGCATCAGAAGGGATTTTGAAAGAGTTTGGAATATGAAAATCTGGATTATATATGATGTGATTATGCTCAAATATTTGATATCTGAGAGATTTGTGAGATTCATAAAATATGAAAATCAAAATGTGTAAATGATTGTTTATATGTGTCAATATCGCTATATATAGTTTAGTAATATAAAACATACATGATATTTACTTGATAAAGCATAAGAGCTATAAATCACAAGCAGATTGTTATCTTTGATCTTCATCGGATAGACTGCTTGTGAGAGTCTTTTAAGATTTTCTTCTTCAATCAGAAGTTGATTGAAGTCTTTGTTCTTCTTCTGGGGGTACAATACAACAACAAGTACCTAAGATGAGGAACATTTGAAACGATCTTATTCTGAACATCCTAAAAATAATCTCTGTTCATTAAACATAATACAATGATAATGTGACATTTTTCATATTTCATGACTCATATAGGATAAAATATAGATATCACAGCACATTCTTATTATCTTTCACATATAAAATTGAACTGTGCCATTTATACATGTTCAAACTATAGTCTGTGCTTCATAAATTTTATTTGATTCTTGAGAAATATCAATGACCGATCAGATTCTTTGCCTCAGATATCTCCATGATAACTTCAATCATTTTATGCACAAGTCACACAATTTATATGGATTAGCCAAAATTATATCTTCAATCAGAATCCATATCCTGCACAAGAATATGAAATGCACATCCAGGACGAGTTATAATTTTTGATGAGTTTTATTCAGTCCTCATTAATTAAAAAAATTCAACGTAAACTATTCAAAATTTGATGATGTAGGATTAACGATAGCTTTTTTTTGGATTAGGATCAAATATGTTAAGTTCTGAGCAGTCAAATAATGAAACTGAATTCGATTTTAGTGACATCAAGCCAATTGAAGCATTTGAATATCCTAATCAAGCATCAAAAAAGATTTGGGATATCAATTCCAATAATATTCTACGTATATATTCACAAATTATAGAATTCATTACAAATAACAAAATATCTATCCAAATGTCACTTCACTTGATTGATATTATTTCACAACTTCGTGATAAAGATATTAAATTATTAGCAGAACTTTACGAAAAGATATTAAACGAATTCTCATGCATCATAAAACCGGAAAATGTGAAATTAACGACACTTCTACATTACAAAGGTTTCAAATTTGAACATTTCAGTCCTATAAAGAAAGAAGAAAAAATTCTCAATATATATCCAACAGAATCTCCTTTATACTATATTGCATGGAATAAAGTTGATGACCTTAAGAGTAAATTCCCAAATCTTGATATTAATAAGAAAATAAATTATGAAATTACACCCCTTAATTGTGCAATTAAATATGGATCAGAATTATGTTTCAATTATTTGAAAAATATGGGTGCTCAATTCACTGAATACTCCGAAAAATATGCTGTTCAAGGCGGAAATAAAATCATTTTTATGCAAATGATAGAGGAAGGTAAATCATTTGATAAAATGATAAATACAGCATTGAAATATCGAAACAATGAAATTGCTAACTATCTTAAATTAAATTTTGGTCAAAGTCCTGATTCAATTGCAGAAAGTATGTATTTCGGAAATTATGATATTGCTTCTTATTTACTTTCTAATGGAGAAAATATCAACAAAACTTATAATCTCTTTCTTTTCATATTAATCATCATTTTATGGGATTCTCTTTCTTTGCATATTTTTTATTGTTGAATCAATTTCTCTCAATATTAATGAATGTCCTCTTAATATTGCAATCAGAGTTAATTCAATGGAAATTGCGAAATATTTAGTTGAGCATGGTGCTGATGTTAACAAACAAATTATTCTCTTTCATTTCATATTTATCATTATTTTATGAGATTTTCTTTCTTTTCATATTTATCATTACTTTATGAAATTATCTTTCTTTTTATATTTATCATTGTTTTATTACATTCTCATTCATTTCACATTTATCATTGTATAATGAAGTTCTCTCTATGTTAATGATTCCCCTCTTAGTATTGCAATCAAAGCTAATTCAATAGAAATTGTGAAATTTTTAGTTGAACATGGTGCTGATGTTAACATGAAACTTATTCTCTTTCTTTTCATATTTATCATTATTTCATGACATTCTCTTTCTTTTAATATTTTTAATTGCTTTATAAAATCCATTATGTCGGTATTTATCATTGTTTTATTACATTATCTTTTTCTTCATATTTGCCTTTGTTTTATGAGATTTTCTTTCTTTCGAGATTTATCATTGTTTTATGACGTTATTTTTCTTTCCATATTTATCATTGTATAATAAAGTTCTCTCTATATTAATGAATGCCCTCTTAGTATTGCATTCAAAGCTAATTCAATGAAAGTTATGAAATTTTTAGTTGAACATGGTGCTAATGTTAACATTAAACTCATTCTCTTTCTTTTCATATTTATCATTGTTTTATAGAATTATCTTTCTTTTCATATTTATCACTATTTTATTACAATTTCCTTCTTTTCATATTTAACATTGCTTTATAGAATTCTCTTTATTTCCATATTTATCATCGTTTTATTACGTTCTTTTTCTCTTTATATTTATCATTGCTTTATTTCATTCTCTCTATGTTAATGAATGCCCTCTTAGTATTGCAATCAAAGCTAATTCAATAGAAATCGTGAAATTTTTAGTTGAACATGGTGCTGATGTTAACATGAACTTTATTCTCTTTCTTTTCATATTTATCATTGTTTTAAAACATTCTCTTTCTTTTCATATTTATCATTAGTTTATTACATTACTTTTCTTTTCGTATTTATCATTATTTTATTTGATTCTCTTTCTTTCCATATTTATCATCGTTTTATTGCATTCTCTTTCTTATCATATTTCTCATTGTTTTATGACATTCTCTTTCTTTTCACATTTCTCATTGTTTTAAAAGGTAACTAAACTCCTTTCGCCGATCTGATTTGCCCCATATTTAAAATATAGCTTGCATATGTAGAAGAAAAGCTAATTTTGAAGTACGCCCGAAATCCACCAACAGGATTTCGAGCTACTAAAAAGGTACTTTTAACTGTGATTTTTTTTATAAAAAATTAAATTTATTTTAAGATCAGACTAAAAACTAATTTTATGGAAAATCTATATCGACAAATTTATTACTTATTGGGTATATAGATTTTTTGATTATGGCGATTATGTCTGATATGCTTCCAATAAGCCAAAACACATTTCATACTGATTTCTATAAAAGGTATCTTTATTATAGAAGTGTAAGCTATATCTGTTTGTTTTTTTATTATAACAAATTCAAAATTCTCTTATAAGGACTAGATGAAATCTGTATTATTAAATCATTAGCTAAATGAAGGTTCAAATAGAAAGTAAATATCAATTTATATGATACTGAAACCAAATAGTTCTTTTAATAAAAGATAACACGCTGAAAATTATTGAGTATTTGCAAATCTCAAAAATCTATTGGTGAATTTGGCTCAACTTTTAAAATTATAACATCCATATCAAATCATAAAAGCAGACAAAAATTAAAGCCAAACCTATCGGCCAATTTTTTTTGATATTTTGATTTTTGAGGTATACTTTTAAAAGTGGATTTAAAGCACTGATGAAAAAACATTAACTTCTGTCGTTATGATTATTGATTTAGACAATAATGATTTTAATCTTTGATTATCAAAACACTAAAGTCATCTTTTTAACATTTGCTTGGTAGCATTAACTCAAGTCTAAAGTACTATTTTATGTGGCACTCTTAGAATTTTTGTATTCATTGTACACGCTGAAATAGTACCATTAAAGTTATGGCGGACTTTCAAAAAATAGTTTGGTCACCTTTTTGTTTTATTACATTTTCTTTTTTAATATTGAAACATTTCTCAATGTATAATAATGTTTAGTATTGCAATCAAATTTTTAGTTGAACATGGTGCTCAGAATAACAAATAGTTTTTTTTAGTTGCGCAATTCTATATTGAAACAATATATAGTATTGAAACAACCTTATTTAAGAATAAACATTTCATTTATTCAATTGATTTTTCCATACCATATACAGACTTTTTAAAGATATATGAGTGGGGGACAAACTCGCCCATTGTCACTTTTCATTAACCTTAAACTTGTAATTTTCATTATTTTTAATTAACCTTATTTCTTTCCCAATTCCTGATTTATTTTATTCACTTACTATTAAAAGTCACATTTTAATAAAATATAATAATTTATTTATAGCATTTTTTACTATACTGTAATAAAAAATTAATTATAATAAATTAAATGTTTATTAAATCAAATATTTTCTTTGCAATAATATTTTTAATGTTGAGTAAACAATGTTGGGATCAAGTGTATCATTTTTCAGACCTTTCTGAACAGCTTCAAGCATACTGATGCATTCGACTTTTTTAAATTGTGTCATTTCTTCGAAATCTCTTGTGACTTTTTTGATAACTTTAACACTTCTCTCTGAATCCAGACCTTTAATTTGCAACTTAATCAGGAATGAAGGAACAACACTGGAATATAACTCGATGACAAGTTCATCGAGTCGAAGATTTGGTTGTACACCACTTGTATGTGCCGGATACCATTGTGTCAAATTTTTTCTGAAATTAACTTTAAAAGTACTAAGTAAGATCATGAGATATAGCAATATATGTTTAAACCAACTTATATTTTGGTTGTACACCACTTGTATGTGCCGGATACCATTGTGTCAAATTTTTTCTGAAATTAACTTTAAAAGTACTAAGTAAGAGTTAGTATACCTAAGTCGTGTACAGAGGCACTGCGAGCCTCCTTACACCTGATATGTGAATTTGACACTTTACAAAACCATTAACGTATATTTTACAACACAAACGACAACACCAACTTAACCTTAAATATTTACAAAGCCGCCAACCACTTCACCTCACTAACGTTTTCACAAACGACTTCACTACTGTAAAAATAAAAGTTCTCACTTACAAAAGTATTGCAACTCTTCCCATTGCTGTGCTTCACACAATAGTTCATATTCTTCAGTATCGCTGCTGTCGCTCCAATCGTCAGAGTCAAAATCACTGTCAAAATAAATGTTAGTAAGTTTTGACAAAGCTAATGAAACACGTTTACCGTTTGTATCGTATGCTTGTATAAACTTTCCATTCTTCATTCCTTCATAAACGCTCAAACTAACTTTACCCTTTCTCCCTCGTATCTGATAGAATGTATTTTCACGAGGAACGAAGAACAAATTCTTGAACTCATGACCGTTGTAGTTTGTTATCTCAATAGTTTTCGTCATTATATAAAAATAAACTTAAAAATTAATGATATCACCACCCTCACACGTATGAAAACATCCATTTAAATTTAGGGTAGAAGGTAGATCTAACCTCATTTCTACCCTCATTTCTAACCTGTTGAATTCATTGCTTTATAACTCTCTTCCTTGGTTTCTTTTTAGTTGCTTTCTTCACGTCTGTCTCCAACTTGACTGTCTTTTTCTTCGTCCGTAATGATACCAGTTACTTCCACCAGTCAATGGGTCAAATGGTCGTTCATAAGGGTTTCCATACATTCCATAGGGACCATACGGAAGAACTACTGGTGGAGAAGAAACATTTTCTTTAGTTCCATCGAATCTATTTAAATGCATTGTTTCACCTTTCATCTGGTCATTAAAGTCTTTTGCGTGTTTTGCAAACTCATCGTCCTTTCCTAAAGCATTTTCTGACTCAGTCGCAACCAAATTGGATGCTTTATTTATGAGCCCTATTTTATTTAATCTTAACTTCTTTGCAACCCAGCCTCCAATCTTCCCTTTATTTGCATCTAATGTCTTGAAACCTTCCTCCACTCATTTTATTTACTGCGTCATAAGCTCCAAGTGCTTTTGCTCCAAATGCTAATGCTTTTGTTCCCATTGCGCCTAAAGCTGCCCAAGCTACCATTTACACCATATTAAAATCATCTCTCTTCAATATTATCTCATAAAAGTTCTCGTTACTGGAGAAAGTCAATGAAACGTAAGCGTTCTCACGGGCTTCGCCCTCACCGCTTTGCGGTCTATCTAACTTCTTTCTTATATCATCTATACGCTTCAAAATGTCTGAACAATTGCTAACATCTTCTACAACAGTTATTTCATCATGAATGACCTTCAAGAACAACTCATTTAATATGCAATTAAAATCATTTCAATAATGAGTCCATCCTTTCCATCTTTAGGTAGCACAACATCTTTCATTGAAGAAGGTTCGACAAGTCTTATGTTAAACTTACTGACAAAGTTTGTTATACTATAATGCTTCGGCGGCGAATACATGTAGTTTGAAAGACATAATATAGATTCTTCAGCAAATTCACTTATACTGGATTTTATAACAATGTTCTCACGAGACCAAATACCACCAATTGACAATCTTGTAAGCAATCCTGCTGACCTTCAACTGTAAACGTCGATGGTAACATTCCACGAAGGTCATCTATTGACATCGTTGAGTTACTGTATTTAAATATTTTCTTAAAGCAATCGTCATTATCTAACCATGCAATAGCTTTGAAGTTTTCATTCGAATATACATCTGCTTCATTAAATGTAAAACCTGACTTCTTTGCAGAGATGACTTTAAAATCTATTGAGTTTGTTTCAAAATTATATGCTATGGTAACTTCTGAAGGTAATGGATGTCCTTCCGCAGTCAGTTGTTCTCTCACTACCGTTTGAAGCTTTGTGTTAAAAACTTTCATGTCATCTCCTGTGTCTAGGTTCACATACACAGCAACAGGGAAACTATCTTGCTTCTTTGTTTCATCATTATACCTCAAAACATTAAAGTTCTTCAATAATATTGTTCTTCCTGCTGGAATACTTCGAACTTGTCTGATTTCAATAGCTTTCTCACCTCCTACATACTCTACCCAGTGTCTTGGATATTCATAAGTATACTGACTTTCTTGAATTTTGGTAGGTTTCATCATAACGTGTTCATAGTATATCTTTATACTCTTGTCAGTTAGACTCGGTGCTATATTCTGAATATTTCTGACTTGCATTTTTAATGGAGATAAAATGAAGCATTTAATACATGACGTAGATGAAGACATGAATGAAAGCAGTGAAAAGCTCAACAGTTCTCTTATTCTTCCTTTCAGTAAGGACTATGAATTCTGTTCAAATGGCGTTTATTTCTATTGTGGAAAGATGGGGTCAGGAAAGACATTCAACCTCATTCGTCATATACTCATAACAGAACGTTTAGGAAATGACTCATATTATGACCAAATCATTATATCAGCAACTTCAGACTCTATGGACTCAACAGCGAAAACATTTATGTCAAAAGTTCAAGCCTCTGTCGTTAAAGTTCCAGACAGTGAACTCATTGAATTTCTTCAACGTTACATTCGACGTAAGAGGAAATATTATGCCATCGTTGAATTTATACAGTCAGGAATGCAAAAGACTTCAGAAGAGATGGAAAGAATTATTGACAAACACCACTTACGTCAATACTCAGGAGTTTACGATATGAAACGACTTACAAACTACATTCTATCAAAACTTTCAAAATACCCCTTCAAAAAATATCCTTCAAACACTCTGCTCGTTTGTGACGACTTCGCCGGAAAAGGTTTAGTGTCAAAACCAGACTCACCATTAGCTAACATCATAACTAAAGTCAGACATTACCATTTAACTGTAGCAATACTTATGCAAACATGGCGTTTCCTTGCTTTAAACATAAAACGTCTCATAACTGACTTCGTTATCTTTCAAGGTTTCTCACGCTATGATATTGAACTCATTTGGAAACAGTCAGGTATAACATTACCTTTTGAAGAAATTTGGGAAGCATATAAGTCTCTCATCTCCTCGTTCATACCTTGAGATTCATATCATGACTAATACCATTAAAGTCAAAAATATTCCATGGAACGACCAACATTGTTTTAAAGTTTAACCTTCAATTGACTGATGGTAAACAAATTCCATGCATCTCTGTCGCCATTTCTGTTAATATTTTTGCTGTCATTCATATCATCCACTTCTCCATCCGTTAGCTTTTGAGGATATGTGTTAGAATAGCTGTTCTTAAATGAAGGCTTTCTCACCTTGAGAGCATAAACTCTATAACTTTCTGCATACTTTATGTTTGAACCTCCTGAGCCATCATTGACATAAATTTTTATAGGCTTCCACCCTTTGTTCATGTTCCTGCTTCTTCCCTTAGCTCTTTTGTTCAGTAGTTCTACATCTTTATACACAGCACCTGTCTCAGTGAATTCAACAATATTTTCATTCGTTAGCTTTACATTCAAACCCTTGTCGAGTATATTGTTCATTTCATACATATAAAAGGTTTTTATTCTATATGAAATGAGAAGCAAATCCATCTTAGCTGGTGCCGTTAATGTTCCAATTGAACCAACATCAAATGTTGACTCACGAACGACAAACAATATTGTCATAAAGAACTATAGTTCAGAGTGTTTGAAAGAAAAAGAACCAGAGCTGAAATCCGTGAATTTAAACACAGCTTCAAACGCTAACGCTACATCAGATGTTAAGTTAGAGTATCCACCACTGGACCAAATTCTTTCAAGAGAAGCCAACGACAATCCTTACACAAATGTTCAAACAAATCCTTCAGATAACGTAGACCATTACCTTCTTCAGTTATACCAAACAATTTTACTCAAAGACGATAAGAAGCTTTTGACAAATCTTATAAGCAAGAACCAAATAATTCTAACAAAGGAGGACCTTGAAAATGTTATATCACGAATAACAGGAAAGCAATGTGTCATTGACTATCTCGACCCTGAAATCGAATGCTGTGGTCAAACGCCAATATTCATGAAAATAGGTAACATCCGCATCATTGAAACACCAGGAACTACAGGAGTTGAGTTTAAGTATAAATATTCGAATGAATATACAAAACTTTCAACAGAATATAAACTTTGCTTGAAATATGTTTTAGTAAATTAAAGCAATTTGTAATATCTATCCAAAACTTCTTCAACAGTATCGAACTCATCTTCATAATGCAAACCTAATCTTATTGACTTGGTGCAGTTTTCACTAACACAATATTTTTCTGTTCTCTTGACTGACATAACTAACTCATTTGTTTCATCAAACAGCAACAACCAAAGTTCATGACCTAATACATAACATTCATACTTTATATTTTTAGCTCTGAGTTCTCTTGTAAGCTGTTGCATTTAATATTTTCTAAAAAGTCAACTTCAACAGTCATTCGCACTGGTGCCTTCAGTTCTACAGGCTCTCCTTGAAAGTCAACAAGTCTGAATTGCATGTCTTTCAAATTATGAGGACTAATGCGAACCCATTTACCTAAATGAGTTGCTATGACAGGAACGTTTGGAATGAACATTGAATTGACTGCATAACAGAAAGACTTATATTCTACTGAACCTTTACTATTAACTCCTGAAATACCTGTGACATTAGCTATTTTTGACTCAATGTACAAACAATTGCCATAACATACGTATGGAACAGATTTCATCTCAATCGTTTTGTCAACACTTTTCAAAGGAAATGTCATATGGTATGCACCCAAAAGAAGTTGAACTCTATGACTCATTCGTGTTATCTTGAACTCTTTCTTGCTACTGAACTTCAATGTTCCCTCAGAAGAGAGTTTCGACATCTATGTTGTCAATAGTTTCTTCATTTATGAGAGTATCTATGACATCCAGCAATTTATCTATTCTATACTCTGCTCTGTTAGGAAATGTTATAAACACTTCTTTTGTCATCTATTTCAATCTCTATGAAATCTGTTTCATCTGTTATGACAAAAGTTGCGATAGTATTGAAGTCAACAACTCTGAAAGCAAGTGCTTCATTCTGAAGACTAAGTTGTTTGTAGCTTTACTTGTCCGTATTCGTTTGGTCTGTACTTTGCAAATAGAACAACATTTTATTCTCATTAAAATATGACTATTGCTGCATATGCGTATGAAACAAATGAAGCAAGAAGAGCACATGAACTAGTAAACGAAAACTCAACTTTAACCATTGAAGGCAATGATTTAGTCATTGACGATGGAAAAACTAAAAAATCATTGATTTCGATACTTTTAAACACTTATGACCCATTCATTACAATAAGTAAGTTCCTTCATAAATGATGGAACGGTCAATATATAAATTCTACAGTAGATGCCTCATTAGTGAAAGTATTAAATGTTCTCATTGAATTGTTAAAGAGCTTTCGATTTGACGACAACATTAAATGCTTAAAGAATTTAGTCATGAATGAGAAACAAATTCTTGGCGTTGCTGGTAGCAGTAATGATGTACACCTTATGACATTAGAATATTATAACGAACATAAAGATGAACTGAAAGGAGAGAAGGGTGACACCGGACCACAGGACCACAAGGAATAAAGGAATACAAGGAATTCAAGGAATTCAAGGACCTCAAGGCGAAAACGGTTTGGATGGAAAGGATGGAAAAACTGCTAAATCATGGATATGGACCTTATAAATACTGGTTTAAGCTGCTTCATATGGAGTTCTTCAATACCAAATCGGAAAGATATGGGCAGTACTTGGTGAAGAAGCTTAGATGACGTTAAAAATGCTTTGAACTTCATTTCAAATGGTTCGGATACTATTAAAACTTTATCTGGTTGGATGCAAGAAACAAGGAGTCAAATAGATACTGTAAGACGTATAGCAAACAATGCACGTACGGGATTGGATACTTTACGACAAGCACAAAAATACACTAAAGGAAGCAAATGATATTCTTGGCTCAGTATCAGACATGCATGAAGATTGGCTTAAAGGTATTGACAAATCTTTAAAAAATCACAGTCAGTCTATTGCTGACTACAAGAAAAGTATAGATTTTTTACATAGTGCTATGGACGTACATGATGGAAGCATAAGGAACTTACTTAATGCTAACAATAACTTACCAGGAACTATTAAAGCATTTATAAAGTCCTTTGTAAAACCCGGTGCTCTAACATTTAGGTCTTTGAGAGCAAGAGCATTGAAGTCAAGAGATGCAGAAACTCCAACAGAACCTACAGAAGGAACTGAAACAACAGAAACTCCAGAAGAACCACCAAAACCAACAGCTAATGAAATATTGTTCGAATATTTTCCAAGGTACTCTGTTCTCATTGCATACATTCAAGAAATACTTAAGAAAGCAGACTTGACTTTAGGAGATGATGAAAGTTCTGTATATTCTTTCGTTCCAGTTTCAAATAGCAGAACTTTTGAGACAGAATATGCTTAATGTATGACAACATCTCTGATTTCACAAGATATGATGACGACCATGACCCCGAACACGGTGAAAAGAAGTTTTACAAACATCCATTAAGACAGGAAAGGTTTTAACTCAAAGTCTCATTATTGACACCAAAGATGGTGAAGTGGATGTTCTTCAAGAGCTGAAGAAAAATACTTCTTCGGGAGGTGGTGGTAGGCATGAACTTGAAATAAATGAGATAGAAGAGAAATTAGCCGAAAAAGCAGATAAAGAACATAAACACAATATCTCCGATATAAATGAACTTCAAGCTACATTAAATAGTAAAGCGGACAAAAATGAACTTGACGCAATGAACAAAGTTTTGAAATCTCATAAACACAATATCTCCGATATAAATGAACTTCAAGCTACATTAAATAGTAAAGCGGACAAGAACCATGTTCATTATATAAGTTCAGATGAACAGATTATAACGGACTATCATGGATATTTAACACGAAGTGATGAAGCGAAGACAAAAAATGTTAATGAAAGAAGATATAAATACATTCGTGCTAAAGGTTATGACATAAGCTGTACTGTACAGTATGACGTAGCTAAAGCACCAGAAGCATTTGGTTATACCGGTGAAATTTATGCCTCTACTTTCAATGTTAACGGTGTACTAGTTGAACCAAGATTTACTTTGAGAGTTAAGGCAAAAATAACTTTTGAAGATGCTATTAAAAGTAAAGCGGACAAAAATGAACTTGAAGCAATGAACAAAGTTTTGAAATCTCATAAACACAATATCTCCGATATAAATGAACTTCAAGCTACATTAAATAGTAAAGCCGACAAGAACCATACACATGAATCCTTCACTACTGTTAGAGCAGACGACATAATATTGAACTTTGACCTTGGTTCAAGTGCACCATTAGAAAATCCAAGTACAAGCGTAAAAGATACTCTTAACAATTTAGATAAGAGTTGCAGGAATATCGAAGATCATGCCAGAAACTTTGAAGCATATGAACTACCAACAATGTTAGATAAGAAAGCAGACAAAACAGAGCTTCAAACATTAAAGACAGAAATACTTCAAACATTATATCCTATAGGTTCTATTTATACGTCAATGAACTCAACAAATCCAGAAACAGTTTTAGGTTTTGGTGCATGGGAACAAATAGTTGACAAATTCTTATACTGTGCTAACTCTTCAAAGCAAACAGGGGGTTCGAAGAAAATTACTGAAGCAAACTTACCTGCGCACACTCATACAGGAACTACAAACTTTTCTGGCGACCATAGCCACTCATTAAGAGACCATCCATTATACAACTCAGAATATTATGCTGGCAATGACGTTTTATCTCCAGATTATAACCATTCAGCAAAAAAGACTTTTCGACCAACTGAACCAGGAGGAAATCATTCACATACTTTCACAACAAATCCAACAGGCTCGGGTGAAGATTATATGCCACCATTTGTGACTATATTCGCATGGTATAGAGTTCAATGAACGCGCTTGAGCCTAGAATGAAATCTTTAACTTTACATAAATGAGCTTGAAAGAAGTATTCGAACAACATCCATGGAGGTCATTTAAAAAATTCAATGAAGCTGCAAAGAGTTGGGGATTTACTAACAGAGCTGAAGTGAAAAGGTTCTTTGACAAAAATGTTGTACATCAAACAAAAATAAACCCTTACGACTACTTTTTACCAATTTACTCCAACGCTCCTGACGCATACCAATTTGACACTCTCATTCAAAGCAGAAAAGGAGGACATAAACCATTCCTCATCTTCATAAATGTTAACACTCGCAAAGCTTTTGCGTATATAATGAGAAATAAAGGAACTCGTGAAGTGTTAAGAGTTTTACAAAAGTTTGTAGCAGAACATAACCCAAGTACTTTAACATCAGACCAAGACAGTGCATACCTCAGCAACGAAATCACAGAATTTCTCATTAAGCATAACATAACTCACTACACTACTGAAGACCATAACCATAATATTTTAGGTATCATTAATCGCTTCATAAGAACGCTCAGAGATTTAAATCAAGAGCGAGACTTTACCGAAGAAACAATGAAACATTTTCTCGAAGTATATAATTCCTCAACAAATTCTACAACAGGACATACACCAAATTCAATGACACAACAACAAGAAGAAAAGTATATACAAAAGAAACGAAGCCAAACACAAAATATCAGAAATTCAACACAATTTACCCTCATTCCTGGTACAAAAGTTCGTGTAGTTCTTGACGACAAACCGTTGACAAAGAAACGTTTAAGGTTAAGTCGAAATTATTATATCGTAGACTCTACGCAAGGTAATGGATATCTTATAAAAGCTGCCGACGACTCTATTGCGTTTTACCCTCGACATAAATTAGTCGAAAGTAGTAATGGCAAACTTGCTGAAACCATTGACGAAGCAAAGCGAGGAGTGGTTATTGAAATACTTGGCTATAACACAAACGATGACACTTATAAAGTAAGATATGAAGGAGGCGTTGAAGATGTTATACCATCTAAGAACTTGAGAGAGTCGAAGCCAACACATCTGGGACCATTAGAGCGGGAGTACTGGAAAGACAAAAATATGCCAGAAAGAATAAGAAAATTCTTCTAAACTTTTTCGTTGGATGTAAATCAGACATGAACGAGAACAGTCATGAAATTATTAATGGTACCATTTATTTTAACATAAAGACGCAAAGCGGCGAGGACGAAGTCCATGACCAAAAATAATGTTTAGGGTAGATGGTTAGATCTAACCTCATTTCTACCCTCATTTCTACCCTCATTTCTACCCTCATTTCTACCCTCATTTCTACCCTCATTTCTACCCTCATTTCTACCCTCTTGAATTTTCATGAATTTTCCCGAAATAAAAAATAAAGTTAGTTTTATTTTATTTATTTTGTATTTTTTGTATGTAAAGACATGATTTCAGGGATTTTTTTGACGAAGTGTCAATCTTCACTTCGTCAAAAAATAACAGTTATCTAATGAAAAAGTGTCATTTTTTGTATTTGACGAGAATGTCGGGTAGATGGTTAGATCTAACCTGTTTTCTACCCTCTTTTCTAACCTCTTGAATTTGTCATGACTTCTTCGTAAATGTTTTGTCAAGACTTCTTCGTAATGAGTGTAAAGGACCCAAAAATAAAGTTTAGGTGAAGAGGTGAGATCTCACCTGTTTTTTCACCTCTTTTTTCACCTCTTGAATTTTCATGAATTTTCCCGAAATAAAAAATAAAGTTAGTTTTATTTTTTTATTTTTTTTTTATTTTGTATAAAAGACATGATTTCAACAATCGGCACAACAACAATTCAAACAACAGCACCAAACTCGTTAGTCATGAATCCAACATCTATGTTAGTAGAAATGAAAAGCTTCATTCCTTCTTCATATACTTTTGAAACAGAAATCCAGAAGATAAAGCAAGAACTTTTAACAAGTAATTTAGACTGTAGTGTGAAAGATGAAACAAATGAACAGTATCTTTATGAAATGCAGGACCTCATCGACCATTTACCCAAACTACCTGAAATCCAACAACAAAAACTCACTATTCCTGAATTCGATGAAATTGAAGTCAAAGCAACTGACTCAGTAGAAATAAAGAAGTTCATACGAAAGGTAAACTATGAGTTTCTAGGATTTCATTGCAACCATAAGGTTATGGACAAAGATTGCGACATGGTATATAAGAATGTTTCTGACATATATAAATCTGAAGAATTTAAGACCTACGACAACTTTGTTTCGTTAGTTGCTGAATGTGTATGGCAGATAAGAGATAAAGATAGAAGAGGTAAGGTATGGAACAAACAAATAAGACCCGCTATGTTTGAGATGAAGAGAGCAATTGACGCTTTAGTTGTTTTAGCCGGTTTTATTTCAATGTATAACGCAAAAATGAACCCGCAATGTTCTAAATGTAAAGCAGCAATGAGGAGATATAACTACTCCGTCAAAGAGATAGAACGTATGAGAAACGACTATGCAGACTTAAAGAAAGAAGCAGAAAAACCAGCAGAAGATAAAATGGACATGTTAGAATTTCTGAACAAAAACTATCCAACTGCTGACGATTTCCTTCTATCTGACGTCAAGAAGAAATATAAAGAAACTTTCGGCATTGTTAAAACATTCGATGTACTAAAAGAAGAAATAGAAGCTACAAAACTGTTTAAAGTCTCACGAATTCATAACGTTTACCATGTAAAACGCTTATAAAATAACTGGGGTAGAAAAGAGGGTAGAAATGAGGTTAGATCTAACCATCTACCCTAAAATATATTTTTGCTGAATTCAGCAACAAAAATCGTGAATTTCCTTAAGACAGAAAAAATAAAGTTAGTTTTATTTTTATTTATTTTTTTATTTTGTATGTAAAGACATATATGTCAAACATTGAGTTTGAAACAGTTAGAAAGATAGACAATGACACCAAATTGGTTAGAATAGGTGATTTAAACGTAAGATACTCAAAGAAATACAACAAATATTCTTTGTCAGACATTATATTTCCATCTGGAAAGAAAACACACGACTGGGTTAGAAATGCTTCAACTCAGAAAATTTTGACAAGAAATCCTGAGCTTATGATATCAGTAAGATTCTATGGAACTACAGCATATCTCATCGACAAAAGTCTTATACCAATAGTTTTGTTATGGATTGACCCAGTTGTTGGATATAACTTCATAACTTATGGTTCATTCGATACGGAACGTTGCAGTGAAGGCTTACTTTACATCGTTCAGAAACCGAAGGACTTCAACACAAAAAGATATAAGATAGGAAGGACATATAATATAACTCAAAGATATGACAGTACAGTCAATAGAGTCAAGGTTGTGTTCGTTAATGATATGAGAGCCGCAGAAACAGAACTACTCGAAAAGTTTGAGAAAATGTATGGTGCTCCCATAAAAGGTAAAGAAACGTTTGAAGTAGATGAGATAGATAAAGCTATAAAATTATTTGACGAAGTTGCTGAAAAATACATGTAAAGCGTTTATTTTTGGTCTTTTGTGAAAGATAGAAAAAATAACGCTAATTTTATTTTTATTTATTTTTTTATTTTGTATGTAAAGACAGATATGTCAACAACAGAGAACACAACAACTGCTATCGTTCATGAAGCCATAAATGAAGAATACGAATACATACAGTATAACAAACAATTGAGACTCATTCGTTCAGTCAAAGATGACATGTACCAAATGCAAAGTATAATGAATGCTCTTCTTTCTACAAAGCAAGCATATCATTGGTTTGAAAACCAACAGGCAAAAGAACTTTTAGAAGAATTTCCTCATATGATTGCTTCCCTCGGAAAACCGAGGGAAGAGATTCCGTACGAAAATCGCAAGAATTTGGCACCTGGTTTGAAAGGTTATTATGTTCATAGACTTCTTGTAAATGCTGTAGCAATGTGGGCTTCACCTCGTTATGCTTGTTATATTTTCATGATGTTAGATGAACTATATAAAGCAGAACGTGGAGAGATGGAAAAGAAACTTCAAGCAAAAGATGAAGTCATTGAATCCAAAGACAAAAGCATACAGAAAAGAATACCACGTTCGGTACCAAAAGGAAAGGAAAAGAGTTATAAGTATATGATTTACGCTGAAGAGTTGGAGAAAGAAGAAGATAGAGATATGGTTATGTTGCATTTAGTCAGAAGAAACAACAAAAGCTTTTACGACCTTGCTAAGATTTACAAATCTGACAGAAACTGGTTCTATCGTGAAAACTTACCGATTTCAATGACACCGAATGAGCAAATAAAGGAAATTGTCAAAATACTCTTCCTCAAACACACTATGACATCAAAGGTTGTACAATACTTACCTTCAAAGAAGACTTACCGCTACTGAAGGAAAAGATAACAGAATATTTCGACAACTTCAAAGAGGAAGAATAAAAAAATCTAAGCTAATTTTATTTTTTTATAAAATTTTATCTCATATGAAAGAACATGAATTTAGAATATTCGGAACTCATGACAGAAGAAGAGAACGAACAACATGTAAAAGATTATGCAAAATTTCTGAAGACATACAAAGCATTTAAACAATATCTAAATGCTTCTAAAGATTATGCAAAATTTCTGAAGGTATATAAAGCTTATGAAAAAGCGTATGAAAAGTTTATACATTGGGGAATTGTTGTAAAATATCCATATGAAGACTAACCAAAAATATATTTTTGCTTAAATAGCTTCAGGGTCTATTTCTTCAACCATTTCACTTCCTTCGTCAATGTCAATAGAAGCTTCTTCAACCTTTGGTAAGAATTTCTGTATAACATCTTTGTTCGTTATTGTCTTCAGAGATGAAGGATAATATTTCACATTTGTTTCACCCTTCTTATATTCTTTCTGTTCGGAAAGATTTAAAGCAATACTGAAGAAGTCAATGTTAGAGTTCTTTATGACAGTATAGTGTGTATCTTTGACATTGACGAAGAAACTCTTTTGTTTCAAAACTACTGCTAACTCTTGTGAAGTATAACGTTTGCGGTCAATGACGATAGCTAATGGTCTGACATACTGACCAAACTTAGATTCTTTCACAAACTTCTTGTTAAAGATAACATTAACATTTGAAGCATTATTGAACTCATTCTTGATGGCAGTAGCGAGAGCATTGTATGAAAAGAACTTGCAATCTTGCATGTGTTTCATTAAAATAAAAATATTAAATTATTTTGAAAAATAACTTAAAAAAAATCTAATCTAATTTTTTCAAAAAATATTTTTTTATTTCCTACTAAAGATGTATCGGAAGTTGTCTAAGTTAGAACACTCGGAAATAAAACAACTTCTTACAGAAGCTAATATAGATGTTGCAAAGCATTACGCAACAAACAAAAAGGCACTCGCTGACATCCTCAATGACTATAATGGTGCAATAAGTTATGATAGAATTCATGAGTTCATAAAGCCGCAACGCGGCGAGGACGAAGTCCATGCAAGAGCATTTCCTTTAAATGACATTGCTATTGACTTATATCATAGACGTTCAGTACCTCATGAAGTAAGGCGTGAGATGTTTGACATAACAAATGCGAACGTTGGTGAAACAAGAAGAAGAGACGACACACTGAAACAACAGAGAAGAGAGATGTTTAAAAGTGCTATAGAACAAGTTCGCAAAGCTAACGATGTCATTCGTTCCATTGACGACAAACCAAAAGAAGGTGAGAGATGGTTAAAGAAAGATGAAGAGAATAGGAAGAGAAATGTGAAGTCAGGCAATAGACTCATTGACTTTAACATCGAAGCTTTAGATGAACCAAACAGAGACTACTTACACAAACATTTCGGTAAGGTTTTCATGAGACTCTTAGAGAAGATTAAAATAAACTCCCAACAAAGATGGATGGTATGTTATAAACTTGGTGGAAAGTATGAATGTTCTACGTTAAACCTCAATAATATTGGAACATTACTACATCAGCTCTTGAAGGAGAACTTTATATCAGAGATAGAAGCAAATGCTGCAGGTATTGTTGAAATGCACTATGACTTCTTCTTGACAAACATAAAGAATCTTACCGAAATAAAGATGTATGATTTAACAGAATATGAAGGCTTAACGATGTCAGATGTAAAGAAAGGCAAACCAAAAAAGAGACCATATAGAGATGAAAGCACACTGACAAATGACCAGAAAGCCATTTTGGAAGCTCTTAAGCAAACAGGAAACCCAGCACTTATAGAAAGCTTTTGGAAAGATAATGGTGAAAAGAAGTTTTATAAGAAGAGAAGCGGTCAGTTCTGGAAGTATCTTTGCACATTACCTATAAATCTTGAGCGCTACCAAATCTTCAATGAACTGAACAAAAGAACTGCAACACTTATGACAGAAGACAATTGTTTCGTTTATGCTTGCATTCAGGCTGGAGTAGATGGAGAAACTATTGACCACATGAGAGAAGTCATTCGTGTTAGAGACTTTCCTCAAAGTAAAGTACAAGAAATTTCTGACGCAACAGGTATAGCATTTAATGTTACCATTGGTTATTTCAATGACTCAAGACATAATGAAATAAAGAGATATATACCAAAAGAATGTGAAACTGCTCGAACTATTGACTTACTTCTTGTTGAAGACCACTACATGCTAAACGAAAGATTACCAATGACAACATATTTCATTCGCAACTATATAGAAATCTTGAAGGAGTGTGGTGGAATGAACATTGAGAAACAAATGAAGATTTATACAAAGAGAGATGGTAAATACATTGTTCGCATGGATAGAACAACACCGTTATGGATGTTATGAAAACATTGTGGGAGTGCAAATATTTTGAACCTATTTCTTATGGAGAACTTTTCACATATACGACTGACTTATATAAACAGAACCTTGCACCATTTAAAGATTTGACATATGCTCCAAAGTATTGTGTACAACTGAAGAAGAAAGCAGAGTCAAAAGAAATAAATAAAGCTAAATGTAAGTTCATTCCTGAGCATGTTTTCTTTGCTGACTTTGAGTGCAGTACCGATGGCTTTCATAAAGCTTTTAACATCTGTTATGACAGTGAAGATGGTTCAGTGAGTGAAAGCATATGGGGTCAGAACTGTGCAACAGAATTTTTGGAACGACTTCCTGACAAGAGTTTAATATATTTCCATAACCTCAGTTATGATATAAACTTCATCTTAAGACACATGACAGAAGTGAAAGGAACTCCCATCATTAAAGGTTCACGAACAATGCAAATAACTGGTTTTATAAAAGGACGGGCAATTATTATAAAAGACTCTTACAGTGTTATAAATAAGAAGCTTAAACTATTTCCTGCTATGTTTAACTTACAAACAGGACCGAAAGAAGTATTTCCATATAACTACTACAGCAGTACTTTGTTAGCAAATGACAACAGAACTGGTGTCATTTCTGAAGCATGTAAGTTTATCCGGGATGCAGATACATTCATGAAAAACATAGATTCCATCAAAGGTTGCAGAATAGATGAAAAACCACTTCGACTTAGAAAAATATAGCTCATTTTATTGCAAACAAGATGTAAGAATTTAAGAGAAGGTTTTGTTAAGTTCCGCAATGACATATTGAAAGAGTTTGATTTAAACGTTTATGACTACGTTAGTATTTGTTCAATTGCTAACAAATTATTTGAGAACAGAGTATACTTCCCGAATGGAAATTTATATGACCTCTCAAATAAACCAAGAGAATTTATTTCACGCTGTATTCAAGGTGGAAGATGTATGTTGTCAGATAACATGAAACAAAAGAGCGAAAAGAAACTCATTGCTGACTTCGACGCTGTTTCATTATATCCATCCGCTATAGCAAGACTTTATACTTTAGAAGGAATTCCAAAGGTTATGAAGGATGAGATGCTAAGCACAGAGTATCTCATGAGACATTTATTCGATGACGACCAAAAGGAACCCATTGGTGAAAAGTTTATGTCTGGCTTCTTTGTTCTCATTAAGATAACAGAGATTGGAATACATAGACACTTTCCTTTAATAGTTTGTGACCCTGAACTAAATCCAGAACTTAACGTTCCCAGAAGTTCAAACACTTGCTGTTTAATGTATGTTGACCATATAACATTACAAGACCTCATAAAATATCAAGGTGTCAAATGTGAAGTGTTGCAAGGATACTATTACGATGGAAACAGAGATATTAGAATAAGAGATGAAGTAAAGAAGTTGTTTGAGTTAAGGTTAAAGTATAAGAAAGAAGGAAATCCTTTGCAAGAAAATATAAAGCTCATTCTGAACAGTATTTATGGCAAAACTATTCTATCTCCTATTGAGTCAAAAATAACCATAGTAGATGACAAAGATGCTATAAGATATGCCATCAGAAACTACAACCATATAGTGAAGTTCGAAGGTTTGGATGGTTCAGATAAAACTATTTTCAAGCTAACGAAAAGCATTTGCAGACACTTTAACTTCTGTCCACTTGGTGTTAACATTCTATCAATGTCGAAGAGAATAATGTGTGAAGTATTCTGTACTGCTGAGGACTTAGGAATGGACATCTTTTATAGCGATACCGACAGTATGCATCTCTACAATGAAGATATCCCTCGTTTAGCTGAAGAGTTTGAGAAACGTTATGGAAGAGTTCTCATTGGTAAAAACCTTGGTCAGTTTCATAGTGACTTCGCAGAAATAACACCTGGAAAACAAAGTTTAGCATACAAGTCAATATTTTGTGGAAAGAAGACTTACATAGACTTACTCACGAATGATTTAAATGAAGTTGCATTTCACTGCAGAATGAAAGGCGTGAAGCAAGATGTTATTGCTTTAACCGCTAATGAAATGTTTCCTGACTCTGTTCAGTGTTTCTATGATGAAGATAAAGGTTTAATGGTTCCGCAAGGAAAATTTGACAAAGACTCTGAGTTCAGTGTTATGAAGTTATATAAAGCACTTTATGACGGTCAAGAGATTGGATTTGACTTATGTAAGTCTTCTAGTCCTTGCTTTGCTGAAAAGTTTAACTTCTCAATAACGACTAAAACAAGCTTTATTCGTAAGTTGAAGTTCTGAGGTCATTTATTTTTGTCAGCAATGAGGTCATGAATGAGGTCATGAATGAGGTCATGAATGAGGTCATTTATTTTTGTCAGAAATGAGGTCATTCGTGATAAAAATAAAGCTAGCGTAGATTTTACAATACTGCGACGGTAGAGTTTAAGAGTTGTGCTTCAATGTAGAGACAGTCC